AAGCAAAATTCTCTTAAATTGACCACAAATCAAAATGTGTCATTATAATCTATTTTCGAAATAAATTCTAAAGATTAAATTTAAATGCGGTAAAGTTACCCTGCTGCAACATTACAACTACATATTTATAACATTTTGCTACTTTTGCATAAATATTAATGTATACATACATACATTTGTTAAATTCGAAAAACGAAAACAATAACCAGCAATAAATAGCCTAAACTGGTCCTGCAGAGTCATCAGGCGTTTAATCCCAATTTAGACATTAATTTTATTTTACAGTTTGTTTGTCGTTGACAAACCACTGCATTCATTAAGCACAAGAAGAAGAAGTGATCCCTTTTCACAAAAAAAAAAAAAAAAAAAAAAAAAAATCCAATGAATTTCGACCTTTTCTAATTAGGGGTTGATATAAAAAAATCACACGAGAAGTTGAATATAAAAAAAACAAGCAGTATGAATAAAAAAGGTATAAAAAACACCAAATTTACAAACAATAAGTTAAAGTTAAAATAGATTTTGAAAAAAAACCTTAAAACATTAGCCAATAATTTATGTTTTTTTCTCTAATAATTTCATTTTTGATTTTATTGTTAATATAAAGCTAAATATCGATAATCATTAGTTATAAGTATTATCTAGATTCTGCTATAATTTTCTTACTTATCTTGGTTGACCAAAGTTTGCCAATTGAATATGACACGTGTCAGAAGTGACATTTTCAGTTATAGTATGAAAGTAAACATATTTATTATGTATATAGATTGCAAGTATTTTCAATTTTATACATATTTTAAAGAAACTGCACCACTTTTAATTTGTTAACTTTTTTCCAAAACGCTAAATCTATTGTCTTGTTTTTGTCAGCGACAATTTAATGCTTTAAAATTTGTTTTCAAAATCAAAAATGTTTACAATTGATCAAATTACACAAAGGGTTCTTTTAACTGCAGTAACTTAGCTGTATGATTTCTTTATTTTTATGTATTTAATTTTATTGTGTAGAAATGAATTGATTTAGTAAAATAGGGACAACAACTTCAACTACAAGGTCTTTATTGTGTCCCTAAACCTTTTTTGAAAGTCATCTTATATCCCTGAATTAGGGTTCTATAAATCGACTTTCGAATAATCGAACAATCGACTTTTTGTCGAAAAAAGTCGAAAAGTCGAAGTCGACTATTTTGTTCCAAAAAAGTCGATAACTCGACTATCGTCTATGAAAAAAGTCGAAAAGTCGACTTTGTAAATAAAAGTCGAAAAAAGTCGAAAAGTCGAAAAAAGTTGAAAAGTCGAAAAAAGTCGATAAGTCGAAAAAAGTCGAAGAAAGTCGAAAAGTTGAAAAAAGTCGAAAAGTCGAAAAGTCGGAAAAAGTCGAAAAGAGTCGAAAATTTAAAAAAAGTGGAAAAGAGGTCAAAAACTCTAAAATAGTCGGAAAAACTCGAAAAAAGTAAAAAAATAGTCGAAAAAAAGTCGAAATAAATCGAAAATAGTCAAAAAGTCGTGAAAAATCAAAAAAGTCGAAAAGTCGAAAAATGTCGAAAAAAGTCGGAAAAAGTCGAAAAGTCGGAAAAAGTCGACCATTTATAAAATACTAAAAGTCGAAAAGTCTAAAAGTCGACTTTTAAATAAATGAAAAAGGTCGAAAAATCGACTTTTCATAAAATGGAAAAAGTCGAAAGGTCGAAAAGTCGACTTTTAACTAAATGCAAAAAGTCGAAAAGTCGACTTTTCGTTTCAACTATAGAACCCTACCCTGAATACAATCCCCAAACTAATATCTAAAGCATTTAAAATACATTAAACTGAAAATCCTCTGTTTGCACATCAAAACCGTCCACAGTTTCCTTCTCTAATCGGTACATAAATACGAATAAACTTACCGAACTATTTCGTATAATCTATATATTTTTTGTGGGTTTCCGCTAAAATTGCATCGTCGGTATAATGCACATAAGTTTCACTATCGGAAAGATAGGGTGTTATCTCCTTTCGTAATTCTAATTTCCCCCGAAATTAGTTTTAAAACAGTTTTGACTAAGAAACTCGAAAATGATCCTTTAAACTTCTGGCTAACTGTAACTATTTAACAATAAGGGTTGATTAACACATTCTCACACAAATTCTCAATGTTTCAAATATTTCCAATATTATTCTACTATTTTCTAACTAACATTGGTTATTAGATGTGATGTGAACAAAAAGTCATTACTATTAATAGTATTAAATACCACACACTTTTTTTTTATTATGAGCATCGAAAATGGGTGTTGAAGCATTCATCCTAAAGTGTTTTTAGATAAAAATCTAACACACGTTTGTTCACATGATTAAAATTTATTCAATTCAATAATTTCACTTGAAATAAATACATTTGCTCTTCAACAAACGTTTCAGTAAGACGAAGAATTTTCTTAAACACGTGCTAAATAAACTGCTTTTGATTTCCGTTTTAAAGTTTTTTAAAAAAGTAATTTTAAAAGAAATCAGCTAATTTCCGTTTCATTTTTTTAAAGATTTTTGTATAAAGGAAAAGGTTAAGAAATAAATCTTTCAACAGTTGGTATAATTTTAAAATTTAAACATGGGTTTTATAATTTAAAAAAAAAAAAAAAAACTAAACTTTTTCTTAATTTTATTTATTTAATGAACTCATTTATCTTAATACATTTTTTCTCGTTTTGATAACATTAGTCCCTTTTTTGTAACTCTAACTCATTCCTGCTTTCGTTTAGGCTCTCACTAATATGGTAATTAATATACAAGAGTACCATATTCCCCAAGAACAAAACTATTGCATTTAATATCACAAAAACCAAACAAACACCAGGAAAGGGTTGCCTGTTTTCTCAATGTCCTTAATGTGGTATGAAATACTAAAAACTCTAATACATTTTGCTTAAATCGTAAGTCACGTCTGCTATTTATTACATTGTTATAGAAAGTGACCAACTGCAATAAATCAGTGTATGTGTTTTGATTTTCTCTTCGGAGTTTCAACATTGCAGAGTCTGGGTAAAAGGGTTTCATTGTGAATTTCCCAAAGGAGTGATAAGTTAAAATTGTAAACAGCTGAAGTAAAAAAAAAAGAAATTCATAGCAAAGTCCCATTAATGAATGCTATTTCTTCATTTATTTGTTAGAGAATTTGAATTAAAAGAACATAAAATCATATAATTTTCTTGTCTATTTATGGGTTAAAAAATAACATTTTTTTGTGTGGAAATAAATCTTAGTTAAAAGTGTATTTTCTTGTTAAAAGAAAAAAGGATTTGTTTGTAGGACAAATGTTGATTTATTTAAACATAATGGAATTGTAAAAATTGTCCCGTATTGTTGGTTAAATATTGTAATTTGGTAAAATTTATGTGAAATAATAAGATTTTTTAAGAAATAATATAAAATTTGCGGTTGTTACAATCGATGACACGGCAGTCTGTCAAAATTTTTGGGCAAGGGATAGATAGCAGTCTACTCGGCATAATTTACATGAAATAATTTTGGCTGATATACATTGAGATGAAGTCGATGGAATTCCGATCTCGATGGAATTGGATCTGGCAGAAGTGTATGTACTTCGTGTTGCAAATTTGAGCTGAAATAGGCTGTAAAGCGTCCTTCGGAAGTTGCAAGTTGATAATAACAATTAGTTAGTTTAGTTAACTAGTTAGTTAGTTAACTAGTTAGTTAGTAAGTTAGTTAGTTAGTTAGTTAGTTAGTTAGTTAGTTAGTTAGTTAGTTAGTTAGTTAGTTAGTTAGTTAGTTAGTTAGTTAGTTAGTTAGTTAGTTAGTTAGTTAGTTAGTTAGTTAGTTAGTTAGTTAGTTCGATTCGTTTCGTTCGTTCGTTCGTTCGTTCGTTCGTTCGTTCGTTCGTAGTTCGTATTCGTTCGTTCGTTCGTTCAGTTCGTTCGTTCGTTCGTTCGTTCGTTCGTTCGTTCTTTCGTTCGTTCGTTCGTTCGTTCGTTCGTTCGTTCGTTTCGTTCGTTCGTTCGTTCGTTCGTTCGTTCGTTCGTTCGTTCGTCGTTCGTTCGTTCGTTCGTTCGTTCGTTCGTTCGTTCGTTCGTTCGTTCGTTCGTTCGTTCGTTCGTTCGTTCGTTCGTTCGTTCGTTCGTTCGTTCGTTCGTTCGTTCGTTCGTTCGTTCGTTCGTTAGTTCGTTCGTTCGTTTCGTTCGTTCGTTCGTTCGTTAGTTCGTTCGTTCGTTCGTTCGTTCGTTGTTCGTTCGTTCGTTCGTTCGTTTCGTTCGTTCGTTCGTTCGTTCGTTCGTTCGTTCGTTCGTTTCGTTCGTTCGTTCGTTCGTTCGTTCGTTCGTTCGTTCGTTCGTTCGTTCGTTCGTTCGTTCGTTCGTTCGTTCGTTCGTTCGTTCGTTCGTTCGTTCGTTCGTTCGTTCGTTCGTTCGTTCGTTCGTTCGTTCGTTCGTTCGTTCGTTCGTTCGTTCGTTCGTTCGTTCGTTCGTTCGTTCGTTCGTTCGTTCTTCTTAGTCGTTCGTTCTTCGTTCGTTCGTTCGTTAGTTCGATTCGTTCGTTTCGTGCGTTTCGTTCGTTCGTTTCGTTCGTTCGTTCGTTCGTTGTTCGTTCGTTCGTCTGTCGCTCCGCCCCCTGCCTTTTGCCCTCTTTCCCCCTCAATTTACCAGAAAACCTGGATATTAACAGAATACTTAATTTAAATTATGTACAAAAAATCAAAAAACTTTGCTGAACGTCTAATATTTAAAAAGTTGTTAACAACTCCAGCATCTAATTAAATTTGATGTAAATAAAAAGTAAATTTACTTAAAAGTTAAAATATTTTTTTATCAACATTTAATAACATTTTTAATACAAAATTACAATTAGTTATTAGATTATGGAAAAAACAGTTATGTTTTAATAACGCTACATTTTAATATACGCTTAAATTCACCATATTATTACACCACACTAAGTACTCGTCTAAAATAATACACCACCAAAGCAAAAATACAACACTACAAAGAATAATAACAAAACGTGCTGAACTGTCAAAATAACATTAAGTGTATGTGTGTGAGAAATTGCACGCCTGTTTTCGTTTATTTACCTGAAACGAAATTATTGTGAAATTTAGTAGTAAAATTAATTAAATTAATCCAAAGAATATAAAAAAATACAACATGAAATTACAAATAAAAACCTTAAACCAAAAATCTCTAGTAGTGGATATAGAGGAAACAAAAACAGTTTATGAACTGAAAAAGGAATTGTCACTGTATCCAGATATTGGTGTCCGGCCAGAATTGCAAAAACTAATCTATGCCGGTAAAATACTGGTCAATGACGATAAACTAAGTACGTATAACATAGATGTAAAGAAATTTCTGGTAATTATGATTCTAAAGCAGCCGGTGGAAGAGCCACCAAAAGCCGAACAACAAGCTGTTAAAGAAGAGACAGTTAAAGATATAGCAGCAGATAAAGTTAAAGAGCAAGAAAAAACTGAAAGTAAAAACAATGAAACTACTACTACCTCGCCGGCGACACCAGTAGCAGAAGCTGAATTCAAAACCCCTACAGCTCCAACGGGGGATAGTAAAAAAGATGAATTAGTGGCCCAGATTATGGGCATGGGCTATCCCGAAGCGGATGTAAGAAGAGCTTTAGCCGCCAGTTTTTATAACCCCGATCGTGCGGTAGAATATCTTATCGAAGGCATTCCCACCTCACCCTCTACACCAGAAGGTGAAAGTTATTCTGATACGGATGCTGACTTATCAATGACACCCTTTGAAGTGTTTCGTGGTGATCCCACATTTCAAACTCTACGCCAAGCCTTGCAACAACATCCAGAACTGTTAGATGCTGCCATACAACGTGTTGGGGAAACAAATCCCGAGCTATTAAATTTAATTAGTGAAAATCAACAAGAATTTCTTAGTATGTTGGTTGATGGTTCCGATGATGAGGAATACGATGATGATGATTTGGACGACGATGAAGATGAGTAGTGTGTAAATTGTCTAGAGGTAGAGAGGAGACTGTTAGTTGTGGTATTTCAAAGAAATACCAACAATAAAACAACTTGATGTACACCATGAAGTCAGAGGTGTAAAGGAATTGTTTAAATTTAAAAAAAAAAAAATAAATAGTTCATTTGTTATTTTTATTAACAAGTTATAGAAGCCATGAATTTATATGTTTCTTTTTTTTGTAAAAATCGAATAAATTATTAATAAAAAAATAAAAAACAATTTAGATGAAAAATTGTTTTGTTTTAGTGAACATTGCATTTTTTGCTATTAGTAGAGAAAATCAGATTTTAGTGAATGTTAAAATTTTTAGTGAAAATTGTAATTTTTAGAGAAAAATTGAGACTGCGTGAAAATTTAGATTTTTCGCGAAAATTTAGATTTTGGTGAAAATTGATTTTAGCAAAAAATTTAGATTTTTGTGAAATTTTAAAATTTGGATTTTAGTGAAATTTTGAATTTTTTTGCAAAAATTTTGAAAATTTAGTTTATAGTGAAAATTGAAATTTTTACAGAAAAAAATTAGATTTTTAATGAAAATTTAGATTTCAGTAAAAACTGTGTTTTTTCGTGAAAATTGTTATTTTCTTGTGAAATATTAAATTTTATTGAAAATTGAGATTTTAGTGAAATATTTTTTATTTTAAGCGAAAATTTAGATTTTAGGAAATATTGAATATTTTGTAAAAATTATGATTTTTTGTGAAATTTGTAATTTTTTGTGAAAATTTAAATTTTTAGTAAAATTTGGAATTTGAATTTTTAGAGAAAAATTTAATTTTTTAATTTGAAACTAGGGGTGTCCGGTTCGTGTTAAAGACCCTTGACTCTATAATCGCTTTAGCGATTTAGGTGTTATTGACTTAAAATTAAAGCTTTGACGCCATCTGTCGAACAAATTTAAAACTTTACAGGAAATCTTACGATCCCTGAAATATATCAGGTGCCTAGTTCCTGAGTTTATGGATAACGAACAAATATTAGTGAAAAATTTTATTTTTTGTAAAATTTTAAGATGTTTTTATATGTTTTTATAATCTAAAATTGATTCCATATTTCCAACACAAATCCTATTATGTTTAAGTTACAATTTCCGAAAGCTTATGTTGGTAATGAATGATTTAATAAAACTATAATTGATAATTACTTCCTAACCCCACTTTTTTTTTAAAAAAGGGGAGCGTGTCCTTAAGACATTAAAATTAGTTGAACATAATTGCATAAAATGAATTGGTAATTTTTTTCCAATTCTTAATTTCAAGCAACCACGTGCTTCAGGCAACAAAGCATATTAACCAAGTCCGGTCAATCAAAAAAAAAAAGAAAGATGCCATTTAATTACAAACTAAATTAATTGCTGCTTTTTCATAACCAAGGGATGGATGCTGCTCTAGCTCTTTATTTATTTTAATTGAAAAAGTATATTAATTCACCGAATAATTATAATATAGAGAAGTAAAAGAAAAGAAGCAAGGGAAACAAAAAGAAATGCAATCATGTGATGAGCTTGATTACATGCTGGCACGTGTGTAAGCCATTCGTTGCAAAAAATCGCACTCGTACTTGAGTTGAGTTGGAATAAATTTTTAAATGTTTCAATTTTCATTTCTACTACATCATACAGACAGACTTGTTGTGTTTGTCTTTTTCCATAGCTATCTCTCCCTCAAACTCATATTTGTTTCTCCAGCATGAAAGGCAATCAACTTGTGGCCTTTATATATCATTGTATTGCTTCTAACATTTTGCATCTTTGATACACGCGGATGAATTAAAATAATGCGTTTTTATATTTTGTAAGAGTTGTTGCTTTCAGGAGGTTTTTTTTCTTGTTGTTGTGTTTTACTTCAATTTTTGGTAGATTTTCCAAGCTTATTTGTTCGCATGTTTAATTATAATTAGTAAAGAAGTTGTTGTTTTCTTCCAACAACCACCATCATGAACATCATCTTCCCAACATCATTCCCATTCAAATTATCATCCTCATTTTCATTACAAGTCGTACGTACGTACATACATATTTATGTATGTATGTATTCCGTAGGCTGACATTTGGGCATAATTTTGTGTTCTGTTGTTCTGTATCTGTAACCGAGTGAGTGGCTGGTTTACCGCTGCTGCTGCTTGTTACTTTTGGTTTAAAAGATAATTATATATTGCGCTTAATTGAGTGCTCAAATGCGTTTGTTTTCAAAAGGCTTCATTTATAAATGCTTGTTGAGCAAATGGCACACTGGGTTTGTTAAGTTGTTGGCTAGTTGAAATTGAAATAAATTGTTGTAGAAAGGAGACACAAAAGATTGGTTTATAGAGGAAACCGTTCACTTGGATCGCTAGATAGGCTTCTCTGTGTTTCACGTAAAGTATCATACCTTAGTCCACAGGTGAGATAGGTGTCTATGTTCGATATAGAATCGAATCACTTTAAGACTCGCGTGAACAAATGTATCTTGCGAATGTCGATTATCGAGAGATCGTCCTTATATATCCAAGAATGGGCGGTACAAAATAGCAATACTATTCCTGACAATACACTGCAGAGGCTGAGGATGTTTCCTAGCTTTTCTTTTTCCTACTTATAGTGACACATTCTATAGAAGTCATTAAAAAAGAGATTTAAAGCGCCACCTATTAAACAGGTCCTGTCGGCACAACAATAAAAAATCGCTGACACTTCGTTCCGAGATAAATGAGGGCCAAGTCAACATTGTTATAAGAGTGATTTACTGTAAGAAAGCGTAACTACGACCGTAGCGTCAACAAGTAAGAAATTAGAGTCAGTTTCTGAAAGAAGCTTGGAGGAATTATGGACCGATCCTCATATAGTTTGGTGGATTGATTTATGATAACATAAAATGTATTTATGATGAATTTCATGTCGACTATAGTCATTTTAAGCGAATTGTGAACATTTAAGACATTTTCTGAAGCGGTCTTTGTATGGGGGCTAGAGTCAAATGAGGCGTGATCATTACAAAATTCATCAGGGTCATCAAGGCTGGTATAAAACTAAGTTGTGCCGCTTTTTATTGAAGTACGAGTATATTAAGTATAATAATCAGTTCAAAATCCCTATTCGGAAGGTTTAGTTGTATGGGGGCTAGGTGAAATAATGGTCCGATATTAATCATTTTCAATAGGTTTCGTTCTTGGTACAAATTTCATTGAATAACCATCAAAATTGACCTGTAGATTGATTACAAGGTTTACATGGATGGACGGACATAGCTAAATCGACTCAGAAAATGATTCTAAGCCGACTGGTATACTTAAAGATGGGTATAGGATCAATATTATTGTGCGTTACAAACATCAACACCAACAGGGATGATTTCGAATCTTCTTCTCAATTTTAAAATTACAAATCACGAAGCAATATCAAAGATTCTACAAATTTTATCTTGATCGATATGATCCCGGACCGAAGCTTCGCAAAGTTATTGATATATAGTAACTTTGCAAAGCTTCTCTTCGGTCATTCTCCTCAATGATGCAAAACGTCTTGAGCAAAAATTCTATGATTTTTTAAAAATGTTATCTTGAATAGTATGATCCTGGGCCGAAGCTTCGCAAAGTTATTGAAATGTAGTTACTTTGCAAAGCTTCTCTTCGACCACTCTCCTCAATGATGCAAAACATCTAGGGCAATTGAGAAGTGATAAAATTTTATGGCCCTTTAAAATCGCATAAATTCATCTAAAAATATAAAGTTTTACTAAAATTCCCAATTTTCACAAAAAATCTATAAATTTTACCAAATATCCAAAATTTCACTAAAAAATACCAAGAACAAATGTTCACTAAAAATCCGAACTTTCACTAAAAATCTAAATTTTCACTAAAAATCCAAATTTTCCAAATCTTCTTTTCACTAAAACTAAATGTTTTTCCATAAAATCAAATTTTTTATTTTAATTTGTACTAATTTAATAATGTTGCATGCCACAGTGATTCCTACATACGTGTAGTTAAGTATGATTCTCTTTCATTTTTTTTTTCTCTGTTGTTAATTATTTTAATTGAAATGTTCTTTATGATGATCATTTAATGTATTAGATTGTGGCAAATTAGTAAGATAAATGATGTTGTATTAAAACTGATGGGATACCACCACACAGCAACTTTGGCCAACCATCCATCCATTCATTTATTTATGCGCTTGGCGTTGGTTTATTCTTTCAGTCATTTATCCAACCGAGTACAACAACAATAAACTGTAATTGTGAAAAACTACACATGTAATGAATTCACATTTATTTTAAATGTAATTAAAAGGTGAAAAAATGTAGATGAAAACATTTCGTAATGAAAATTATTTTTAATAAATTTAAAATAAACCGTAACAACAACACCAACACCCACCCTCCCCTTTGACAGAATATTTTGAACTATGAGAAACCTTAGCATAAAGTCGAAGAAGAAGACAAATGCTGTGAAAAAATTGTTTTTCAAAACTGATGGTGTGAAATGAAATCACAGTGTTTACATCCATTTGACAGGTCATTAGACAAGTCAGACCACAAAGTGGTAGTTGCTGGTTGTTGCAGCATAAGAAGCTAGTAAATGCAATTATTAAATTTCCATAATCTAAAAAGGATTTGTATTTCTGTTACTGATAAATGATAAACTGTTAAACTAAACAACCACCCCTATTTTAGGAATATTTCTTAAATGAAGGGGTTAATTTCTAAAAGCATAAACACCATCCTTTTCTACTTAAAAAAGCAAATATTATTGTTATTGTTGTTGCTTTTTTGCAGGTTTCTCTTATTCGCCAAAGCCATTAATTAAAAGCTTAAATGACTGATTGATTAAAGCGCCACAATAACAAAAAGTCCTGTTAGTAATACTAACAAAACTAAAACTACTTTTTTTCTTTCTCTCTCTCTTCCTCACCTTCTTGATAGCTAATTTATAAACTACCTGTCAACCATTTCTTTGCTAAATGTCAAGTTTTTTTGACAACAACTTGTGTGTAAATAAACAACACATCCTTAGTATATAACGTTTTATATACTTTAGGTTGTTGTTGTATGTTTGCTCCTCCTACACATTAGGTGCTATTTTATTTGCGCATAACTGTTTGTAGTTGTTGTACTCCTGTCTGTAGGCTCTTTTGTTATTAACTCTATGTTTAAATATTGCTGCGGCTTTCCTTTTTGGCCAACAACCAATGAAGTTTTATTTCCTTTCACTCATACACATGCGGTTAATACACT